AGAAAAAAAATTTCTGTAGAAGTATTTAATCGCAAAGAAATCGAAAATGAAAATTTTTGCACATCTTTACGTTTTGAAGGTTTCTGAACATTTTGGCATACCTTAGAAAAAATGAATGTGTGTGAGTGTGTGCGGATTCAATATTTCGTCGACGATTTCAGAAACATTCGTTTCGTATTGATGGGGAGACGTGCTAATAATTTTTTGGCGGAGGCAGGTCCAGCCGTTTCAAAGATACGGGGCAAAAAGTGCCAAAAATGGTAATTCAATTTTTAAGAGAACGGAGTACCCGATTTGAATTATTCAAAAACATGTTACTTGACAAATTGGAAGGATTGATGAAATTTTTGGTAAGGCAGGTCTAGCGGTTTCGGAGACACAGAGGAAAAAGTAAAAACTAAGATATTTGGCGTTCACGAATGCTCATTAGATATATGCACATCAAATTATCAGATATTTGATAAAAAATTTATTAATGAGTACTAATTTTGTTACAATTTTGTTAGATTCCGTACCAAGATTGTTAATTTTCTAAAGTTTACTTATACGGTTTGAACAAATTTCAAAATTTTTAGATTTTTTTCTTTTAATTTTTAAAAGTATACTGCAAATTTGAATTTTAAATTTACAATTCAGTTTGAAAATGTATATATTTTAAATGCGTTATTCTAATCGTAAGAAATATATCCTCAGATAGATTTATTTGGCACTTCTTGCTAATGTAAACTTTCTCAAGTGTTTTGAGCGAAAATATATAGTGTTTTTAATCATCTATGTCAAATGTTTAAAACAATTGTTCTTAAGCATTGCTCAATATTTATTGATTACTGATTTTTTTGCTAGAATATTTAATTTTGGTACGGAAAGTTCCAGCAATTTGCCTTAAGACACGATGCAATTTACCTCTACTTTTTTATGATTTTAATATAACTTTGTATATTTTGGTGTGCGTGCGTACGTATATCGCAATGTCGCAAAAAATGTCAATTGGCGATATCTCCTCGGTTGTCTGTGAGACGTCCTCGATACAAACATTATTAGATTCGCCTTACAACATTACGTATCCCATTTATTTAATGCAGTCGTCCAGATTGATAGTTACATTTATTTTTTCGGACGCCGTTTTGTCGCACATTGTGTCGAGGTCGCGCTCTCGTCTTTTTTATCGGTCATTTGAACTCGACGCATTCGCTTAACGAGATTCGGCAGCATTTTGGATTTTTCGCATGGAGATACATTTTGCATTCTCAATCATAATCGAAGAGCTTGGAGAAATTCAGTTATATCAAAGCTTTTACTCGAGTTCTTTCAAAGTTACTTCACGATGTTTTGAAACAATCGTTTTAGAAGGCTCATCTTCAAATCTTGTTAACTTCCCATAGAGGAAGTAGTAATCGCAAAAAAATCGAAAATTAAAATTTTTATATATCATTACGTTTCATAGGTTTTTGAACATTTTGGCATATCATTAGAAAAAATGAATGTATGTGTTTGTGTATGTGTGTGTGCGGATACAAATTTTCGTCGACGATTTCGGGAACACCGATCAACCGATTTGAATAATTCAAAAAACATTTGATTCGTATTGATAAGTTTGGAGACGTGCTGATTAGTTTTTGGCAAAGGCATGTCTAGCCGTTCCGAAGATGCGGGGCAAAAGTGTCAAAAAACGGTAACTCAGTTTTTAAGAGAACGGAGCGTCCGATTTTAATAATTCAAAAAAACATTTTACTTGTATTGATAAGATGAAAAACTGATTAAATTTTTGGGAAGGCAGGCCCAGCGGTTAGGGACTCTCAATAAAAATAAGTTAAAAAAATATCATTTGGCGGTCAAAATTGTTTATTGGACATATATGTACATCAAATTTTCAGATATTTTATAGAGATTTTAATTGTGTGTACACATTTTGTGTAATTTTTTTTTGAGTTCCATACCAAGATTTTACATTACGGTACGGGAAGTTTCAGCAATTTGCCTTAAGGTACGATGCCATGCACCTCACTAGTTGAATGATATTATTTCTCAGTATTAAAATCTAGATATCACAAAATTAATAATCTGCATTTAATATGAAAACTTAAAACTCATTCATTCTCAACTATTTTAAAATTCATTATTTGCCATTATGAATTACATCTGCTATTTGTAATACATAATTACTCATTTAATGATAATTAATAATATTTGTTAAATAATTAAGTATCAATTAAGTCTATTTATATTAGCTCATAAATTCATAAAGAATGTTCTTAAAAATGTCTATTGCAGTCGCGATAAAAACGTTTCTAATTTTTAACTTTTTTAGGGTAATAGTAATCGCGAAAAATTGAAAACGTTTCATATATCTTAAATTTCCAAGCTTTCTGAACATTTTGGCATAAATTAAAAAAAAAATGTGTGTGTATGCATGTATGTATGTATGTATGTGCGGATACAATTTTTCATCGACAATTTCGAGAATAAGCATCAACCATTTGAATGATTCGATTTCTATTGGTAAATATTGGATTCCTGTTGATAAGGAGACGTGCTGATTAGCTTTTGGTCAAGGCAGGTCTAGCCGTTTCGGAGATAAGGGAAAAAAGTGGCAAAAATATTAATTCAGTTTTCGAGAGAGCAAATGCAGAACTGATTGAATTTTTGGAAAGGCAAGTCTAGCAGTTTTAAAGATCGAGTAAAAAAAATCGGAGGGCAAAAATCAATAAACATATGCTCATCAAACTATCGGATATTCTAAAGAGATTTCAATAGATTTAGTTTTAATAATATAGCTTGCGTTGATTTATGAACAGAATTACTTAGAAACAAGTCTTTTTTTGAGTCAAGAATGAATTGTCAGAGGTATTATTATCGTTTTTTTGTCATTACCACTTGACTTGGTAGACGTTAGACTGATAATTTTGGCATATCTATTATTAACACACTTATATTTATAAAAATGTTTTAAATAATTTGGGTGGTTAAAAAAGATACTTGAATCGTTTTGTACAATCGAGTTTGTAGAGAAATCAGGTCTAATCATTTCGGAGTTACATTCTAAAAAGTAAAAACTA